CCAAAACCGTTATTTCGATGAGGCACGTTTTGGCCGTATCAAATGATATATACCCTCTCTCTAAAATATTAAAAACATGACTCTAAGGTACCTTAAGCAGTCTTTAGATATTTTCTACAAATTTTTCGCAAAGGACCTCATAAAAATTTTTAAAGCAAATTTACGTAGGTTTTGAAAGAATTTTTCCAGAACCCATTAAAGCTGCTTTAACACGGATTTTCATAGAATTGTTCTTGGCCTCATGAAGCAGTTTTAAGAAGGATTTTTTAAAGAATTTTGCAAGAGCCCTTTATAAAGATTTAGACTAATTTATTTAGTAATTTCCGAAGGCTTCTAGAAGCCCTATCACATATTTTTTTTAAAGATTTTTTTCTAGACTCTTGAAATATTTTTTGATGCCCTACTTTTCAAGAACCCTTCACACAGCTTTACTCTAACCTTCTTTAAGAACTTTTTTGTAAAAATTTTCAGAACATTTGTTTTTTGCAAATATGTTTAACCAACTTTAAAGTATTTTTTTTTAGAATTTTTTGAGACCCTAGATACAGCTGTAAAATTTTTTTACAAATCCCGAGGGTATGAGAGGGCCCTACTTTTTTTGAGGACATTTTCCAGTCTCTTCCATCTGACTTTTTGTAGATTTTTGTATCGTGACCTTTGGTGTAGTTGTACGATTACTTTTTCAGAATTTTCCAGGATCCGTTCCAACGCTTTTGTTCTATAGAAATTTTCTAGGCTCTTTCAACCTAATTTAATGTAGATTTTTATAAAATTTTACTAAGCCCTTAGGTGTAGTTTTGGTATAAATGTTTACAGAATTTTTCAAGGTCCTTTATACTACATTTCTTTAGGAATGAAGGTCCCAAGAAGCCTTTATACGTGCATTTTTCAACGTTTTTTTCTAGACTTTTTCAACCAACTTTATTGCAGATTTTTAAAAGTTTTTTTTACGAGGCCTTTCGGTGTAGTTTTGGTATAAATGTTTACAGAATTTTTCAAGATCCTTTATACGGCTTTGCACTACATTTTTTTAGGAATTTGGGAAGGCCCCTCAAAGCCCACATACGTGATTTTTTTTTATAGATTTTTTAGGTTACGTCAGTCCACATTTAAAATAGATTTTTATAAATTTTTTCGAGGTCTTTGGTGTAGTTTTACCATTTTTTGCAGAATTTTCCAGGTGAATCATAGCTCCGTTTAAATTTATAAAAAAAGACTTGAGTATATAAATCCTTTAAAAAAATCCCCATTGTACTAGAAGCCATGCAAAGTTCTTAAAAAAAATCCGAAAATGCAAACAACCTTTCAAAATCATCAAATAAAAAATCCCGGACCTTCCAAAATTCTAAAAAAATATCTTAAAAATTCTCTCAAATTTTAAAGGGTCCAGGGGTGCGTATACATTCTGTCATGTATCATACGCCCTTTAGGGTAGTTTTTCAATTTCGTTTCCCTTGGATTTCTTTATACATGCATTTTTTTATAGATTTTTTGTAGGCTACCTTTAAAATAGATTTTTTCGAGACCTTTGGTGTAGTTTTGCCATCATTTTTTGCAGAATTTTCCAAAGGCCGTTACACAGCTTTACACAAAAAAAATTTAATGGAATTTTAGAAGGCCCCTCAAAGCACTTATACGTGAATTTTTCAAAGACATTTTTTAGGTTCTTTTAACCTAAGGGCCCTGCAAGTCCTTTAACGAGCAATAATTAAAATATTCTAGGAAATTGCTTTTATGGGCATTGTAAAATTTGGCATCGTGGGTCTTGAATTTGTTTTTATTTAACTGCCATTTGAAATTCTTTCGAAAAATACCCTCTCCAAAGTGGCTTTTAATTATCATGGATGCGGTGAAGTGTTTAATAGGCTCTCAAAAATTTAAAAAAAAAAATCTCAGATATTCCCTAGGTCGCTCAAAATTCTTAATGTATTTAGGGGTTATCCAATCTCTCAAATTTCTTAAAAACCTGGTGTTTTTAGCGTCCATCCAATTTTTTTTTTCAATTTATTTTACAGATCCTCTAAAACAAAAAGGTTCTGCCTAGCGTATACGAGTTGCTATGTTTCATACGCCCCGGGGCACTTTGTATATTTTGGTTTTCTTAGAATTTATTTTAACTAAAACTTAAGTGGAGTAAAATATATTTTCCAGCGAAAACGATTTAAATAAATTTCTGGTGATCCATGGGCTCTGAAATTCATTAAAAAAATCTTCAGTACATAAATCCTTTAAAAAATCCCTATTCTCCTAAAAGCTAGCCAAATTTGAAAATAAAATTCCAGCTATACAAAGGACCTTTCAAAATCATCAAAAAAAAAAAAATTCCTGCTGTTCTATGAACCTTGTAACATTCTTAAAAAATATATTTTTAAAATTCTCTCAAATTTTCGAAGTCCAGGGTGTGTATGCATGTTGTCATGCATTATACGCCCCGGGGTTCTTTGTTTATTTTTGTTTCCCTCGAATTTCTTTCTTTTATTTATTATTTATTTTAGTTTCCCTGGGATATAAATTTAAAAAAATTAAATTTATAAAACATCGTGCGTATAAAAATCCTTTAAAAAATCCCTATCGCCCTACAAGCCATTCACATTTCTTAACAAAATTCCAGCTATACAAAGGACCTTCCAAAATCGTCAAATTAAAACATCCTGTTGTTCTATGTACCTTACAACTTTCTTAAAAAAATATTTAAGAAATTCTCTCAAATTTTAAAGGGGTCCACGGGTGCGTATGAATGCTGCCACGCATCATACGCCTCCGGGCACTTTGTTTATTCGTCTTTTCCTTGGGATTTAAATTTAAAAAATTTAAATTTTTAAAAAATTAAGAGATATTAATTCTTTAAAAAAAATCTCTATTATCCTAGAAGCCAGACAAATTTCTTAACAAAATTCCAGCTATATAAAGGACCTTCCAAAATTACTAAATAAAAAATTCTGATGTTCTATGGACCTTCCTACATACTTCAAAAATATTTTTAAAATATTCTCTCAAATTTTAAAGGGGTCGAGGGGTGCGTATACGTGTTGTCACACATCATACGCCCCGAGATTCTTTGTTTATTATTCTTTCCGTCGAATTTCTTTCCTTTATTTATTTTTACTTAACTGGGATATAATTTAAAAAAATTAAATTTATAAAAAAATCGTGCGTATAAAAATCCTTTAAAAAATCTCTATCGCCCTACAGGCCATTTACATTTCTTAAAAAAAAGTTCCAGCGATACAAAGGACCTTCCAAAATCATCAAATTAAAACATCCTCTGGTTCTATGGTCCTTTCAACATTCTTTAAAAATAGTTTTAAAAGATTCTCTCAAATTAAAGGGGTCCAGGGGTGCGTATACATTCTGTCATGCATCATACGACCCGGGCACTTTGTTTATTTGTCTTTCCCTTGGATTTCTTTAAATTTCAATTGAATCTCTTTATTTATAATTTATTTTTGTTTTCTTAGGATTTGAATTTAAAAAATTAAAATTTATAAAAAATTTAGAGTATATAAATTCTTTAAAAAAATCTCTATTGTCCTGGAAGCCATCCAAATTTCTTAGCAAAATTCCAGCTATACAAAGGACCTTCGAAAGTCACCAAATAAAAAATCCTGCTGTTCTATGAACCTTCCAACATTCTTAGGAATAATATATTAAAATATTTTCTCAAATTTTAAAGGGGTCCAGGGGTGCGTATACATGTTGTCATACGTCACGAAGTTCTTTGTTTATTTCGAATTTCTTTCCTTTTTTATTTTTACTTCCCTGGGATTTAAATTTAAAAAATAAATCTATAAAACATCGTGCGTATAACAATCCTTTGAAAAATACCTATAGTCCTACAAGCTATTAACATTTCTCAAAAAAAAAAAATCCAGCTATACGAAGGCCCTTCCAAAATCACCAAATAAAATTCCAGGGGTGCGTATACATGTTGTCATGCATCATACGCCTCCGGGCACTTTGTTTATTTGTCTTTCCCTTGGATTTCTTGAAATTTTTACTTAGTTCCTTTATTTATAATTTATTATTGTTTTCTTAGGATTTGAATTTAAAAAATTTAAATTTATAAAAAATTTAGAGTATATAAATTCTTTAAAAAAATCTCTATTGTCCTAGAAGCCATCCAAATTTCTTAGCAAAATTTCGGGTATATAAAAGGGACATTCCAAACTCATCAAATTAAAACATCCTGTTGTTCTATGGACTTTACAACATTCTTAAAAAATATTTTAAAAATTCTTTAAAATTTTAAAGGGTACAGGACTGCGTATACCTGTTGTCATGCATCATACGCCCCCGGGCACTTTGTTTATTTGTCTTTCCATTGGAATTCTTTAAATTTCTACTTAAGCCTTTATTTATTTTTGTATTCTTGGGATTTGAATTTAAAAATTTTAAATTTATAAAAAATTTACAGTTTATAAATTCTTTTAAAAATCGCTATTGTCCTAGAAGCCATCCAAATTTCTTAGCAAAATTCCAGCTATACCTTTCAAAATCATCCAATAAATAATCCTATCTATAATCCTATCTATATATATATAAAAATATCCTGGACCTTCCACAAAAATATTTTAAAAAATTCTCCCAAATTTTCAAGAGGTGCGTATACATTTCGTCATGCATCATACGCCCCCTGGGGCAATTTGTATATTTTTGTTTCCCTTGGACTACTTTTAATTTCTATAAATAAATACAGGGTTATTATTTTTGTATTCTTTGGATTTAAATTTAAAATAAAATATCCAGAGCCTTCCAAAAAAATATTTTAAAAAATTCTCCCAAATTTTTAAAATACATTCTGTCATGCATCATACGCCCCCCGGGGGTCCTTTGTTTATTTTTTTCCCTGGGATTTCTTTAAATTTCGACTTAATCCCTTTACTTTTTCCCCTGCCCACAATTGTTAAATGCTTGAATATAGTGTTTGTGTGTGTCTGAGGGGGTGGTGTAGGTTGTGGGGTTTTTTGGTGAAGGAAGGAAGCAATTTTGCCAAAACATACCTTTATGATTTCTGGCTGGGGCATTGGCTGCCGTGATATGTGATACTGATACAGTATCATGTACATGCATGTGGTGGCCACGAATATAGTCAGGTACATTTTAATGGATTTTCCCAACGCCATGTTTGCAGCTGCTTTTTGGGCAAATGGGCTACCGGCTAGCAGGAGAGGAGGTTTTTGTGTTGCAATGATATGCCAGGTGATGCCAGTTTGGTTTTGCTTTTTTTCGAAATGCAACAGCAGCAGCTTACTTTTGCTCTGGAGTGTGTTTTTGAAAATGCCAGCAGGAGCAGGAGGAGGAGGAGTGGTGTGAGGTGCGGTTGGGAAATTTCTAGCTTGACTGGCTAACTGCTTGCAATGTTGGCATCTAACGAGACAGGAAGTTGTTGCCTGCTGTGCTTGGCATTAAACGCCCTGCAATGAATGCCTTCCGTCGCTGGAGTGGGATATTAAGCGTTTTGCTGCAAATGGGTTTTTGGTAGTTGATTTCTTTCGGGTTTTTTCTCGATTTTTTTTAACTATGATTTTTCGTCCTGTGAGCAAAGTTCTCCTCCTTTTTTTTGTGTTTGTTAATTAAGTATTTTGTAAATATTTTCCCAAGTTTTCCATTAACTTGTTTTCACTATTTTCTCACTCTGAAGTTTTTGTTTTTTGTTAGTAAATTTTATTTGGTCATTTTCTCTGTCAGCAAGAGGTCCTTTCTTGTCTTCTCTCTCTCCCTCTCTCTCTCGACTTGTTTAGAACTTAAAACCTTTTAGATTTTTTTATTAGCTTCAATTACGTTGCCCTCCATTCCACATATATATCTTATGGCGCCCAATCATTTCCAACAGCTGTGCCGGGTTGCCATAAAGTTGTTGTTATTTTCACGATTAGCTCTCCTTCTCTCCGATGCCATCGGTTTCCGTGTCAGTTTCAAATTATTTGTTAAAAAGCTGTAAAATAGTTTAAATGTTTCGTTGTTATCCGTTTATAAATCATGTTTTGTTCTCTGTCTCTGTCTCCGTCTCTCACTCTGTCTGCTGTCCGCAGCACATATTCACACTAACGTGTTAATGATTATTACCTTTGGTTTTTATTGTTATTATTGTTGTTTTTTCGCTCTGGAACATAACATTGGCAATGGTTCAAGTTTATGGCTGTTGTTGATCCTCAGTGGTGCTGTAATTAAAAATTGAAAAAAAAAAAAACGAGAAAAACAGACATGAGAAAAATGGTTTAATTAATAATTTATTAAAATGGGAAAATGGCGGGGTAGCGTATGAGTGCTGACATACATCATACGACACAGGGTACTTTGGAATAAATATGGGAAAATCAATATTAATACAGGAATTTTTAAATGAATTTTTAAAGGCTAACAGAAGCAGAAGGGATATAGGGCAGCAAGAATTTCCAAAAAAAAAAAATGGCGACAACATTTTTTTTTGGAGCGTAAGTGCAGATTTTCTCAAAAAAAAAAAAAAAAAAAAAAAAACAAAAAATAAATAAATAAATAATAATAAATAAATAAATTGGCGTCCACACTTTTTTTAAGAATTATTAGTGGTCTATAAACCACCCCAATTTTTTTAAATTATTTTAATTATTCAGAAAAGTCAATAAAACTCCAGGGACATTTTTGAAACTTTGGAGAACTATTGAATACCTGTGATTTTTAAAATAATTTTATTTCAATTTTTTTTTTAAAGAAGGAGTTCAGTAAGAAATATAGATGAGAAAAATGGTTTAATTGATAATTTAAGTGGAAAAAATGAGGGGCGTATGAGTGCTGACGTACATCATACCTCCAAGGGTACATTGGAATAAGTAGAGGAAAATTAATATTAATACAGGATTTTTTTAAATTAATTTTTAAAGGCTAACAGAAGCAGACGGGATATACGGCAGTAAGAATTTCCAAAAAAAAAAAAAAAAAAAAATGGCGATTTTGTTCTAAACAATTTTAAAAGATCGGTACTGACGTGCATCATACATCCCAGGGTACTTAAGAACAAAATGCTCGGAAATCAATACATGATTTTTTAATGGATTTTTAGAGGCTAATAGAAGCACAGCGCCAAGGATACAAAAAAAAACATGATTTGCCGACCAACTTTTTTTTGAAGCGTAAGTGCAGATTTTCTTAAAAAAAATAAAAAAAAATAAATAAATTGGCGTCCACACTTTTTTTGAGAATTGTTAGAGGTCTATAAACCATCCCAATTTTTTTAAATTATTTTGATTATTCAGAAAAGTCAATAGAATTCCAGGGACATTTTTGAAACTTGCCAGAACTATTGAATACCTGTGATTGTTAAAAAAAATGTACTTCGATTTTTTTCTAAAGAATTGTAGGAGTTCAGTAAGAAAAATCGATGAGAAAAATGGTTTAATTAATAATTTATTAAAGTGGGAAAAATGGGGACGTATGAGTGCTGACGTAAATCATACGACCCAGGGTAATTTTGGAATAAATATAGGAAAACCGATATTAGTATAGGATTTTTTAATAAATTTTTAAAGGCTAATAGAAGCAGAAGGGACACCAAAGATCTCAAAAAAAAAAAAAAAATGTCTAAACAATTTTAAGAAATCGGTACTGTCCTACATCATACGTCCAGGGGTACTTAAGAACAAAATACTCGGAAGTCCATATAAATAACGAATTTTTTAATGAATTTTTAGAGGCTAATAGAAGCAAAAGTGTCGAAAAGGATACAAAAAAATAAATAAATAAATAAATAAATAAAATTGGTGACCACATTTTTTTTGAAGCGCAAGTGCAGATTTATTTAAAAAAATAAATAAATAAATTGACGTCCACACTTTTTAAGAATTATTAGAGGTCTATAAACCATCCCAATTTTTTTAAATTATTCTAATTATTCAGAAAAGCCAATACAACTCCAGGGACATTTTTGAAACATTCCAGAACTATTGAATACCTGTGATTTTCAAAATAATTTTATTTCGATTTTTTTTAAAGAATTGTAGGAGTTAAATAATAATAATTTATTAAAATGGGAAAATGGCGGGGTAGCGTATGAGTGCTGACATACATCATACGACCCAGGGTACTTTGGAATAAATATGGGAAAATCAATATTAATACAGGATTTTTTAAATGAATTTTTAAAGGCTAACAGAAGCAGAAGGGATATAGGGCAGCAAGAATTTCCAAAAAAAAAAATTGGCGACCACATTTTTTTTTGGAGCGTAAGTGCAGATTTTCTAAAAAAAAAAAACAAAAAATAAATAAATAAATAATAATAAATAAATAAATTGGCGTCCACACTTTTTTTAAGAATTATTAGAGGTCTATAAACCACCCCAATTTTTTTAAATTATTTTAATTATTCAGAAAAGCCAATAGAACTCCAGGGACATTTTTGAAATTTGGAGAACTATTGAATACCTGTGATTTTTAAAATAATTTTATTTCAATTTTTTTTTTAAAGAAGGAGTTCAGTAAGAAATATAGATGAGAAAAATGGTTTAATTGATAATTTAAGTGGAAAAAATGAGGGGCGTATGAGTGCTGACGTACATCATACCTCCAAGGGTACATTGGAATAAGTAGAGGAAAATTAATATTAATACAGGATTTTTTTAAATTAATTTTTAAAGGCTAACAGAAGCAGAAGGGATATACGGCAGTAAGAATTTCCAAAAAAAATGGCGATTTTGTTCTAAACAATTTTAAAAGATCGGTACTGACGTGCATCATACATCCCAGGGTACTTAAGAACAAAATGCTCGGAAATCAATACATAATTTTTTAATGAATTTTTAGAGGCTAATAGAAGCACAGCGCCAAGGATACAAAAAAAAAACATGATTTGCCGACCAACTTTTTTTTGAAGCGTAAGTGCAGATTTTCTTAAAAAAAATAAATAAATAAAAAAAATGAATAAATTGGCGTCCACACTTTTTTTGAGAATTGTTAGAGGTCTATAAACCACCACAATTTTTTTTAATTATTTTAATTATTCAGAAAAGCCAATACAACTCCAGGGACATTTTTGAAACTTTCCAGAACTATTGAATACCTGTGATTTTTAAAATAATTTTTTTTCGATTTTTTTTCTAAAGAATTGTAGAAGTTCAAAAAGAAAAATAGATGAGAAAAATGGTTTAATTAATAATTTATTAAAATGGGAAAAATGGGAGGGTGGCGTATGAGTGCTGACGTACATCATACGTGCCAGGGTAATTTGGAATAAATATACAAAAATTGATATTAATACAGGATTTTTTTGAGTTTTTTTTTTTTTAAGTTTTGTTCAAGCAGAAGTTCTCTGAAGCTCCAAAGATATTTGAAATAAAAAATTAGTGCCCATATTTTTTTTAAAACAATTTAGAAAATGTAATTTTTTTTTTTTTTGATATATGTAGGAGGTCAGCTCGATTTTTTTTTTAAAGAATTCCGAATTCATTTATAACATTAAGAATTGTTTGAAAAAAATTTTATATTGGGGTGCGTATACGTGTTGGCATGTGTCATACGCCCCGTGGTATTTTGTTTATTTTCGTTTTCTTTGGATTTTTTTAGCTCTGACTTTAGGGGATTGAATTGATTTCCTTTTTCGATTTCCATAGGCCTTTATTTTTTTTTTTTTTTTGAAAAATCTGGGGTATAAAGAACTCCTTAAATAAATTCGTGTTATTCCATAGGCCTTTATTTTTTTTGTGAAAAATCTGGGGTATAAAATTCTTCGAAAAATTTCTTGGTCCAAAATTCTTAAAAAACATTCCTGGTGTCCTAAAGGCCCTCCATTTTTGAAGATTCCAGAAAGGCCTGTGGAACATAAGAACTTTTTTAAAATTAATTTACGAGGGCTATTGATCACCAGTGATACCGGAGGGCCTATACGTGTTGACATGTGTCATACGCCCCATGGTATTTTTTATTTTTATTTTCTTAGGATTTCTTTTTTAACTGAGATTTAAAAAAAAATTCAGGACTTCTTCTAGAGAATTTATAAAGCCGTATAGATCCTCAGGGATCTTGGTTTTTTTTATTGTCATAATATAATAACATTAATATATAAACGTATTAGTGCCGACGTACATCATACGTCCCAAGGTACTTCGGAATAAATACACGCAAAATTAATAATAAAATAGGGGTTTTTTCAGAGAAATTTTAAAGGATACCAGGGTATTAAAATAAAATTTTTCCGTACAAATTTATTTTGAAGAAATCTAAACGGGAACATTTGGGATTTGTTTTCCAAGAATTGTAGATGGTCATGAAGACTATGGGATTTTTTTTAAAATAATGCCGAAAAGTCTGTGGATTAGGGATTTTAAAAAAATATATATAAAAAAGGGGTTTGCAGATATATATCATCTTCACAACAGATCTTCTATTAGCAAAAATGGTTGTGTGTGTGAGATATTTGAAGAGGGTTGGTAGCTTATTTCCCTTTTTTTTGAGCGTTTTGTTCTATAAAATCTTAAATCCTATGGCGGGGAGGTACCAGAAGAAATGGTCCGATCTCTACCATCTTTCTAACATATCTTGTGTCGATGGAAATATTGAGAGGTACCAAGTCTGAATGGAATCGGATGTCAATTTCGCGTTTTATGAGCTTCGTGGATATTCAAAACTTTGACACTTTGTGGACCAATATATTCCATCTTCACACCAGACCTTGGGTTAAGAAAAATATTGGTATCAAATATACACAAATATACACCCTCTGGAGCCATGTGACTGAGGGTATATAAATACAGATTAAGTGTGTTATGCCCGCTTCATTTTTTGAGAGATATCCAGAAATCCAATCCAAATCGAGGTACCATGAGGCCCTTAAAGGATTGATTTAAAAATACCCTTGAGTCAACTTTAACTTGGCATTTGAAAGATTTTTTAGACATCTTTAACTTGGAACATTTCACAAAAGCCTTAAGAGGACCCCTCAAAAGGATCTTAAAGATCGACATTTGATATTTTAGCAGAGGCCTTGAGAGAATCTACATTGGAAGTTCCTATCGGGGCCTTCAAAAATTCTTAAAAAGAAATCCACGTTGGCGTGTCTTTAGGGACCTCTGTAAATTCTTAAGAAAATACCGATTAGAGGTGCTATAGAGGCCTTCCATCCATACATTCATCTTAGAGGTGCCTTGAAAGATTGATTTAAAAATACCCTTTGGGACAAATTTAAATAGGCCTT